GATCTTTATGTATTCGCATACCATATGCAACACCCATAATACTACTCTCTCTCTCTCTCTCTCACACACACACCATGTGACTTATTGCACATGTGTTAGTGGATCTTGCCTAAGCTTTGTTTTCCCACTATAAGGTAGCTTTCTTTGTTGATAGATGTGTTGCTCACATTGTGTGAACTTCTTTAATGAGTTCTGATGTTCAAGCTACTTCTGTTCCTGCTTCACTCAGTGCTTCTGTTCCAGTTTATACTCCTGCTTTTGTTGAAGCTTTATTTCAGCAGACTTCCACTAACTTGCAGATAATTGGCATTTATAGATCACTTTATTTGCACCATAAATGCTGAGTTTTTTGGGGTTGTCCCTGGTGAATATCAGAGTTTCTTAGGATGCCAGTAAGTTGAATCATGGCCTCTCTTTCTTCTTCTGTTACAGAAAAAGTCAGTTCTTTTGCTCAGATTTATTCACCTTTGTCTGAGAAGCAGGATTTCCAAGCCATTCCTAGTCCTGATGAAGCTACTGCAGGAACTTGTTTCCTTGTTTTCCCAGGTATGTAACATTTTTCATTTTGAGCCTATTTTCTACTACATCTGAGGAATTGAGTGTGCTGCTACAGGAAAGATACCACTTGAGAATATTTATTTCTTCCACCTTCTCTTGAAATTCAGGTTGAGGCTAATGCTTTTAGAAATAAAGGTCCTTCTCACTGCCCTTTTTAACACACATTTCTCCTTCTACAGTCCTTTTGGTAGGGTCTTCTTCTATTCATTTATCAGCTTAAATGTGAGATCCTACCCTGTTTTCTCATCAGATATTTTCAGCTGTTTTTCATTGTTGTCTGTAAGCTGTAATCATTCTCCTGATTCCTTTTTTCATGAACCAAGGTCAAATTTACATATATCCTTGGCTGCAGCACTTACTAACTTGGTTCCTGTTGCCACCTTGCTTGCATGTTTATTTAATATGTAGGCTTGTAGAGCTATTTTGCAGGGGATTCATCTCTACCCCTAATATTGCTGATGACCTCCAATGGGTCTGTTCTTTGCAATCTTTTGTTTTTGCTAGAATTTCTCCTGAGTTGGTTGCTCACTCAGGAGAAGATCATCAGCAAAAGCTGTTTAGGGCTCTAGTTTTGAGGCTTACCTAGGGTTATCATCCTACTGATCAATGTTCAGATAATATTTGTCATGCTTCTGTGTTTCCTGTTTCAGATTCTGTCACTACTTGACCTTTTATATCTAGTGTTTTTCGTTCCTTTAATTTTGAGTAACTGTGTTTTGTTTCCCACCACTCCTCCTCTGCATTTTTTCAAGGGCCAAATGGGTTTGTTTTAATCTGTTGATTCTTTGTCTTCAAAACCACTGGATTCAACAGGTGCTTCAAGTTCATTTTTGTATCCACTTTCACTAACCCTCCTTTTTTTTGACCTTGTAATTTCTTTTCCACTTCTGAATGATTTACTTTGTGTTTATTGTTTGATCAGGAAGTTTCATATCTTCTGCTCATTAGGACTATCGAACTACTACTTTTGGTTTCTCCCATGGTTTTATTCTTGTTTGTATGTGGAACTCACGAAATTGGGAGATTGGAGACTCGTATTAGGTCTTTTCTATCTCAGTCATTATCTCTACATTCCTTCTTTTAAGATGGAAGCAATGCAAACTTTAAGGTTGTTCCTTTTTCATGGATGTTAGATGATGAAAGTGCATATCAAGAATGCTTATTTATATATATTGAGTCACATTGTTTACAGTTTCACAGTTGGCTGTTATACAGTCCATTGTACAAGACACTGGATTCTCTTGTAGGATAGCTTGTATGTTATCACATTTTTGTCAATGTTCCTCCCTGACAGTTTATCAGTCTTGTTGGATTCTACTTCTTGGTTGGAGCCTTCAGAATATAATTTCTTGTCTTTCACAAAACCCTCCACAGCTTGCCTCCTTTTTCATGTATTTATTTTCTGAGTAGGCTTGTCGGCTTCCTTGTCTATAGAGCTGTCCCTTCAGCCAGTTTTCCTTATCATGGAAGGCATAAGTCTCTGGTGTCCTCATTTTTTTCAAGAGCTTTTCATTTATGGTACCCAAGAATGCCTCAACATTGTCCTCGGTGGGACTTGAGTCTGATTTTAGGCCATTTGCCATTTTTTGAACCATTGGTAACATGTTTGTTATACCATCTTTTCCTGAAGATGTTTTTATTTGTTTCAGGGAGGCAGAGTTCTGACATATTTATCACTGATGCTTCTCATAACATTTTTTTTTCTTGCAGGCTGTATATTAATATCCCAATCAGACCTTCCGACCTAAAACTTGGGCGGTGTGAAAGGATCACACTTGTTTTTCTCTGATTGTGTTCTCTACTCCAACTGACTCTGATTATTGTTCCACAGAATTTTTTTTCCTATCAGAGTGGTTTACTTCTATCTTGCATGAGCAGAATATTTTTGAGTGGTTCATCATAGGTAATTTATTCTTTATGACAAATCTCTTTCCATGACCTTGCTCTATCCACACTAACAAACTGTCTTGTACAGTTGATCAGTCTTGTTTATTGTGATGTTTACAAATACTCTAGTTGTGAATTTTGTGTCATATCTCATCAAATTTGGTGATGTCTTGGGCATCCTGGTTTTAGTACCCTTTAAAGGACATTTTGCAGGCCAGCATATGGATGAATTATAACATCCTTTTACAATTTTAATTATAATGCTGTCTCTTCAGCATTGGGATTGTGTTTGCTATGTGTGGATATTTTTCAGGCTCAATGGTAACTGATGAGGTTTCCTTTACTGTTTTCAGAATATATGGGTTTGTGCTTGTTTTCATTTCACCAAAGAAAAGAAAAATTAAACATCTTAAGTATGGCCTCTCTTTCTATATGGGATTTCTGTTTTTATGTAAGTCCATCATGTCCATATTCTTGCATGTTATTAACCTTTGTCTTTATTATGAGAAGTACAAGTATTAGTGTATCTATAAAATACCCATGTTCACTTTTCTCAAGGTGTCTGGGATCAAGATATTTTTGAATATATATATATAAAGAAATTAGATTTTTCTAGAAAAAATCACCTTTAAGTCACAGTGGTTGTAATTTATTTACTTGGCAACTTTTCGAGCAAATTCCAGAAAGAAGCCTGTCAGTTAATGACAATTGCAGGAATATTTTGAAATGAAATAGTATATGAAAACAGAATGTGATGCAAGTTAGAACTATGAGAATTAAACAATATAGTAAAAACAGTATAATAAAGCTGGAGATTAAAATATAGAACCACTTTACATAGCAAAGAAATAACATAAACATATTAAGATAATAAAAGAAGGATATTACCATTCATTAATACCCGAAAGACTTAACCGAATTTAAAAATTATTTGTTTTTTAATTGTGGTTCTTTTATTGTTGTTGTTGGAGGGGGCATTATGTAAGGCAAGTACTTTAAAGTGCTCAAGAGAATGATTAGCTTTGTTGAAGTGTCGAGCTATATGTTTATTTTGATCTTTAAATCAAGATGCTACATAAGTGTTCTCATGTACATTCAGCGAGCATTCGGCTGGTTCTTCCTATGTAGATTTAGTCACAGTTGTTACAAATAATACAATAAACTGAACATTCAGATGTATAAGTGAAATGGCTATTCATAGAAAATGTTGAGTTCGGGCCTCTAATAGATGTTCTGTGATCAACATAAAGACAAGTGTTGTATCTGCTCTTCTGACAAGTGTACGTGTGTATGTACTGGTTATAGAAGAATTACAGAGTTCTCTTGGTTCAGTAGTGGTTTTTATTTGTGAATTGGAAAAGTTTCAAAATGTTCATTCATCAGAATAGCTTGATGGAATTTTAAGTTCCTCAGGAATAACTGCTATTTCATACTCTTCCATCATATGCTTTCCTATGATAGTTAACAAATAACAAATGTGTGTGTGTACATATATATATATAAAAACTTGGGAGTTTCACAAGTCACATGTACTTCAGCGTTAATCTTAGACATGCTCACTTTACTCTCCACTCTGATTCTCCATGAGCATGTTGTCCTTTGGAGGTGGATTAAGGGTGTCACTTAGTGGTTGATGATGTTTTGGTAAGAACCTTTCCTCCAGTTTACAAAAAATGCCAGTAATACCTGATAAGGAAAAAAGTATTTTACCTTCAGCATTCTGGTGTAGTGTATGAATTCAAGTGTTGCAAATGTAATTCAATGTATATAAGTAGTACCAATTACCACCACCTTGGAGGAGGTATTAAAAAACTAGCTGAAGTTGGATATTCTTATTTGTTAATAAGCATAGGGAAGTATGTGATGGAAGAGTATGACACAACAGTTACTCCTAAGGAACTTAAAATTCCATCAAGCTATTTTGATGAATGGACATTTTGCATTAAAGAAACCTTTCTAATACCACAAAGAAAAACAACTACTGAACCAAGAGAACTCTGCAATTCTTCTATAACCAGATTCTTTAAATCTAAAAATAATCTAAATGACATACATCTTGTACATGGGCACTCATATTCTGTTAGTTTTTTTCAAAGCTGCTCAGGTTTTGAACAGTTTTGTTAAGAGGATTGGAAGCATGAGTAAGTTATGCCTACATTTTGTCATGTACAAAATGTTATTTGTTTGAGTATGTCAGCACATGTTTATAAAGTTCTTCTGGAAAAAAGTGTAATGCTAAAAATGAAATAATAGAGTTTAGAATATTTTTGTGTATGTGAAATTCAGTTACTAAAATTTTATTAAATTTTGTTTAAGATGACAGATTGTGCTGCTGCTGCTGTTTTTATCAGCAGTTTCAAGACCTAAAAGATGAGCTAATGACATTCGGATGATACATACATACATATTAAAACATTCTGCCAATTGTCAATGCATGTGCTTCTATTTAGATTTGTTTTATAGATTTTTTAATCATCTTGTTTTTATAATTTTAATATGCTTCTAAGAAATTGTTAAACTTGGCAATTAACCTAGAGATCTGTGAAAATTTTCAGAAAATTCCATGGATAATCTGTTAGCTGAGACAATTTATTCTATATAGGAGACAGCAGTTCAAATATTCAAGGTGAATCATCTATGTGAACATCATGCCAGTAAGTTATTTCTTTTGCTATCTCTAAATTATTCATAAAGCTGTTTTATTGTTGAAAATATGATGCAGTTACTCAGAATTTTTATCTAATTCAGAGTAATACAGCAATCATGTACCACCATGATATTTCAAAGTTGCAACTTTCCAGTAGTATATGGTGTTGAAATAAATAAATAATATAGAGTTAAAAAATCTTCACAATATTTTCAATTTTATATTTGGACCATTTGGACATAGTTGTAGGCCATTTCTTAGCAAGATCAGTGTGATCAACTGTCATATTGTGCAAGAATCAAAATTAAGCCTAAAAAGTGTAATGCTGTTTTATAGCTTCCCTTCTAACAAGCTATATGTATCCTAGAAGTTAATCAAAGATGCCCCAGGGGTTGACATACAGTTTGTGAATGATTCATAGTGCAGAAAGAAATGAATGATAGTTGGTTTGATGTGACCTGATAGTATCATACTGTAGGTCCATTTTCCATTGATTGAATACTTGTTCAAAAATGCTTCCTTGCTCTTTTTCAGGAACATTGTGATCTGTATAGCTAAATAAAGTAATCTAAATTTGCCAACTAAAGTAGGGATTTAAAATCATTTTAAAATCTATTCAACTAGTATCACTTTACTTGTTTGTTTATTTTTTAGTTCAGCATTTTTGTTGTGGGTACTTCTTGTAGCAATGAAACAAATAACCAATGATCACTATTTTCTGTTAAAATTTTAATTTATTTTTCCTATTTAAATATTAAATGCCAGGTGATACCTGGACATTGCTTTTTCTGACAGATAACATAATGTTTAGGAACAACAAGGGACCTATTGATCTTGACTGTCCCATCCTCTAAACTAAACTAAAACTATTAAAAAAAATCTTAAATTTAGCCCTTTCTCTTAAATTTACTGCCTCCAGAACATCCGAAGGCAAACCATTCCAGAGGCCAAATTACCTGTTAGAAAAATAAAACTGTCTTAGCTGAAGATGATTCCTACCTTGCCAAAATTTATATTTGTGTCCCCTATTCCTACTATTCTATATCAAAATAAATGATGCATCAACACTATCAATTCCCTATACAATCTTAGACCTCAGTCAGATGCTCTCTAACTCTTCTTTTTTTCATGAAAAAAAACACTTTCAAAGATGTTAATCTCTCCATCCAAGGCACTATTCTAGTGATCTTCATCTGAACCCTTTCCAACAATTCAATGTCCTTCCTAAGGTAAGGAGCCCAAGACTGAACATAATAATCCACATATGGCCTAACCAATGACCTATAGAATGAACTTATAACCTCTTTAGACTTGTATTCAGTATTTCTGTAAACACAACTGAAAATTCTATTTACCCTACCACTAGCAACAGCACACTGCTTGGATAGCTTAAGAGACTGAGCTATCATTATACCAAGATCCTGTTCTTTTATGGCACTGTTAAGGTTATTCCCATCCAAATTATACTTATAATTCAAATTATGATAACCCATATGCATTATCTTGCATTTATTATAATTAAAACCCATTTGTCATTTATTTGCCAACTCACTAAATAATTTAAATCATTTTGTAAAGCAGCAGCATCCTCTTCATAGCTAACAATACCCAAGATCTTAATATCATTAGCAAATTTAAGTAATTTATTGACCATTCGTTCATCTATTTCTTTGATGTAAATCAAAAAGAGCAAAGGTCGTAAGACTGAGCCCTGAGGAATTCCACTTGTGACAATAATCTAGTTTGACAGAAATCCATTTATAACAACCCCTGCTTTCTTCCATCTAGCCAGTTAGCTAACTTATTTCCCACACTTGTAGAGAGATAATTTCTTTTACAAGCCTTCTATGTGGCACATTGTCAAAGGCTTTCTGAAAATCCAGATACAACAAATCTACACTCTTACCATCATCCACATAAGCAGTAACCTTTTCAAAGAATGTCAAAAGATTTGTAAGTTAAGATTTTCCTTTAATGAAACCATGTTGACTATCCAATCAAATTCTCAACTTGGTTAAATGACTTTGCAAAGCATCTTTTATCAGACCTACAAAAACTTTTCTCACAACTGATGTAAAACTAATAGGCCTGTAATTACTGGGACAATTTATATTACTTCCCAAGAAAAGAGGAATGACATTAGCTAACTTCTGATCCTTTGGCACCTGCTAACTATTCAAGGACTTACAAATAAATAGCAGCAAGTGGCTACATATCCAATCATTAACCTCATTCAAAACCCATGGGGAAATATTATCTGGCCCAGGAGCCTTATAATTTTTTAAACTTCCCAATTTTTTCTTAACAAGCTCAGAATTAATGCAGTCATATTGTTCTGACCCTGCCTTATCTATCAACATTTCAAGATGAGGAATGCTGCCTAATATTCACTAGTAAAATCCAAAGAAAAAGTAGAATTTAATAACCCAGCCCTTTCACAACCATCGGATACAAGCCTTCCTTTATTATCCCTCAAGGGTTCTAACACATTTTGTTTATCCCTAATGTATTTAAAGAAATCCCTAATGTTAATTTTTACAATTTCAGCCAAATGAATAGTATATCATCGACCAGTGCTATGGCCGGCACTCTCTTGAACTAACACCATTTTAATTTTTATTTTGGAAAAACATCTAAGAAGTGATGTGTGTCACCTGGATGATTTCAACTAGGGAATTATAACACCAAAATTCGAAAAATGTGAGCTACGATTTGAGAAAAAGAGTTGTGTTGTGATATGAGGGGTGTAAATTTTGGACAACTGTAAGGAAAGCATATGGTGGTGCATAAGTTTTGCATAACTGTGTAAAGATCATATAGTTATATTTCATTTATCAGATTTTTTCTCTATACTAAATAACTTCATATGATTTATGGGGATAAATTAGGACAAACCTTTAACTTTTTTTTTAATTTAATCACAAATAGCATGTATGTAAAATACAGTAAATTAAAGTAATAAGTTTTTAATATAACGATATAATAAAGTATTATTTGCTAAATGTACCTCATAATTTATATGAGAGAAGTGGATAGTGTTTAATGGTTAATAATTATCTTTTTTTGATCTTTGTTTTACATATATTTCTTTCAGTTGCATTCTTAAACTTGTGTATATTCAGAAGTTATTTATTATGCAATTTGTTAATACTTTTTCCTGGAAACTGTGTAACCTTGATTGTGTAATGGGCCTGTAGATAGGCCATGGGCTTAGTTGCTGGGTTTGACTTTAAACTTATTGCAAAGGAATTTTATTGGATTTCAGGTCATGCTTTTGCAAATGGAGCACACAAGCCTCTAATGCGAAGGAAGTTTATGAGTGGAATAAAGAACTCGCACTGAGGTCAACTGAATACAAATCAAATAGTCTTTATTTATACACTGTTTAACATTTCATTTATATCCAACTCTCATGGTTATTTTGAAACAGCACTAACTCTAAATCATTGAATTTTTGATTGGAAGATCTAGGTGCTTTTTAATAAGGCCTTCTATTATGTTCAGTAATCATAGACACAACATTAGTTATCAACTAAGCTAGCACGACAAGTTCTGTCAGTTATGATAGTTATAACTGAATTAAAGATTCTTCTAAGATATCTTTAAGTGATTTCACTTTAAGCATCTTGAAATCTACTATTTCTTTGGTACAGTTAATATTCTTCACTTTTCTGTCATTGTACATTATACATTATTGAACCTTAAGTTAAACAGTGTTAGACTAGATTAGAAATTGCATACTTACAAGGAGTTTGTGTGGCAAACATCTTGTAGATTTTGGATTACTGCCACCTTCCATCTTCTGGAGTCAGAAACAATTCCCCAGAGTAACTTCAGATTTTGAGTTGGAAATATGGAATTAAATACACTATTTTTAATGTATTTTCAGTTGTTCAAGAAGTTTAGCAGATCTACTTTTAAAAGTAGTTCTTGTAACTCGATTTGTTCAAGTAGGATCTTCCATCAACAAGTGGACTATTCCATCAGATTGCAATCAAAATCCACTTTGTTATTGGTCTTTACAAAACTTATTTCTGTCCCTTATCTAATATCTTTGGCAAAATCATCCAAGACAACCCTCTCTGCATGGGCATTCTTTACTGTTCATGTCACAAGGTTTTTAGTGACTTACATTTAAAATTTAATTAAACTACTTTTTGTTTATTTTATACCAATTAGTATAGCATAAAATCATAGCTAATAATCCATATCTTAATAGTATATGTTTTAAGTTCTTAATTTTATAAGGCATCCCCTCTTCTCTAATTTATTGCCCACCCCTCCAATAAGTATGAAATTTAATACAAATTACTCATATAAAATTGTTATTACTCAGACAAACCATAATTTTATAGCTTTCAATCCTGTTTTGTTACAAAGCTATCAAACAGAAAATTGCAACACCCACCTGTCACATCCTCACTTTCAGGATTTATTAATAGATCTCTCTTATGTTTGATATTATATTATTTGTAGCTGATAGAAAGCCAAGCCTATCGAATGATATATTATGTTGTTTTCTGAACAGAAAATTGTCAGTTTTTCTTTTAGTACAATCTTTGTTCCCATGGGAATGATATTGACTAGTTTGGATGAATTTGTTGCATAGTTAGAAAGACAGAAACGTTGTGATAGTTATTGGACATTGTTTGCTTTTTGCATGTTATCATTCTATGTTCTCTGGTTCATTAATTGATTAAAAAAACGATTTAGTGTATTACTACCATTAGTATAAAAAAAAGTAGGTTTAAGTGTCATCGAAAGATGACAGCAAAAAAAAATAAGACCTGGGTTAGTACTTTATTTCATGTTTTTCAAGTATATTCTTTATTTATTATTATAAAAGTAACTAAAACGTAAAAATAGAGATCTCTTTTAGGTTAGTTAAGGTTAGAGTAGATAAAATGAATAATACTAACAATATGATAAAAATGTTTCATGAGGCATGCACGTGACCAGCTTGGAGTAGTTTGTTGATAATGTAAATCTATAGGGTAATGTGAGCTCCATGTTCCCCAAGTGATTTACAGCCAATAATGGTGCAACTAGCAGTTAGACACGATTCAAGGGGCAATAAAACAATAACATTTAAGTATAAATAGATGTATACTGTTACGAGTTTAAAGCTACTTAGGATATACGAATGTAGTTTTAAGTTACAATTTGAAGTCATTCTGGAAAGAAAAAAGGGTAATTTAGTTTTATTTCCATTTTTTTTTGGTTATGAGGTTTGTCAAATTGACCAACCTTGTATAGAGTTAGGGTAGAGAAAATAACAAACAAAATATATTGAGAACAAACATTTCAAAAGTATTTAGGAAGATTTAGAGATTATGCAAATGAAGTTTGAAATTTTTGAGATGAAGAAAAGTATTTTTAATCTTAATATGAAAATCACTTTGTACTCGGACTAGAAAAAAAAGACTATATATTTATGGACAAATCTCTTTTTAGTGTATTAAAAATACTTCATTACTAAATCTGATTTTTTGTATGTGAAAGACTTGTGATGTTTACTGAAAGTGTGCCAAATTTTGTGAATATATACTTACTTATTAAAAGATAGTAGTAAAAGATATTTGTCAAGGTGTCTAACAATGCTTTACTCTGAATTACCCTGAAACTAATTATTCTGTTATTATATTGTTGACATAAGATTAATAAGTCAGTGCATATCAATCAGTTGAAACTTTTAAATATAGCTTCTTCAAATAACATTGTATCAAAATACTAGTATGAAAATCAGTCAAAATTCCCACATAAAAACATATGTATATGTTTCCTTACTTTTTATACAAAACACATGAAAAATCAAAACCAAACACACACGCACACAAAAATTATATGTATTGATACCACTCAAATAATCCATGGTTATATATTAAAATAATACCGTAATACCAAAAATTGTTATAATCAATGAACAAACAACCTTGACTAAAATACAATACAAAGTGATACCTTATATATCACATGTTGATTATATGTGGGTTAGCATTGGCTATTTATATCCTTATTGCTACATTGAAAAAGAAAATCACACTTTTTCTTGTAAAACACAGGACATAGAAGAGAAACTGCTAATCCAATCATAAAGAGTGCTTGCCTTCCAGACACAGCAATGCTCATCTGGTGTATGGTGGTACTTATACCAGGTTGCTTCCATATGGAGCCTGCGATATTTAAGACAATCATACACTTCTATGTTTACACAGGGTACCACTATCATAGAGGCCAGGAGTTTTGCCATCTCGACACATTTGATGTAGATTTTGGTATATTCATGCCTCACTGTTTTATACAGTTTTATTAAATCATGAAAATCACCATCTTCTTCTTCCCAATATAGTCCATATAGACAGGTTGAAACCCACTGGATGTGGTGAAGATCTTTGTCACCCAGTAAGTCTCTCCAGAAGGGTGGTTGTAAACAATAGGTATCGTACTACCCTGAAGCATATCCCATCACTGTCACTTCCTTTATGACATATAGACCTGCTACACTGAATTCCTCTAATCATACAATAGCTCCTCTTTCTCTGTGTGATCTTGTATGTTTTAACACACAACACCCTCAGTTATGTTGATTCACTATTAACACTACAGTATCTTAATAATACTTCCATTTCACATTGTTTCATTCTTGCTTTGTATCAGTCCTTGTTGGATTTGTATTACATTTGTATTCATTAGGTTACATTTCACTTCAGATATTGGTTTCAGGTAGTTCACATTTTCTTCTTCACAAATAGTCTTGTTCTATGTTTCTTCAGTGTTTCAATGCACTTGTTCCTTTGTTTCTGAGAATAAATCAAGCTAATCCTATTAATTTTGTCTATTAATCTGAGTACTAATACTTCATATATACAATTTACTAACCTCTTCGATTTGCTTTTTATCTATTCTAATTTTGTCATTGATCTATGTGATTATCTAGGGCCTGCTTAATTTTGTGATTTGAAGTCAGTTAATTTTACTATTCCCTTAGTAGTTTCAGAATAAGAAAAATTGTTATTACCTTTTCCAGCTAGTTTTCTTCATCAATTTTAATCCATCCAATTTTAACATTTTAATCCAAGCCAGTGTGTTTTGTGCCTTGTAAAACAGTATGCTTATCAGGAGTACTAATAGACTTGGTGTTATCAGCATTGAATTTGATAATTTACGTTAATCTAACCTCTTTTTTTTCTCTGATATAGATTGCAAGTGTTCTAAATGCTGTTGGAATTCCTTAATTGGTAGTCTTGATTGTTTAGGGGGTAAATGTTGTGTTTCTGCTAATACGCAAATAATAGTTTCTTAATTTCTGAATTTGCTTCTGTTTCTCTGTTTAATTGTGATTTTGCTACAGTTAATTTGTCTTGTAAATCAGAAATCTTTAATTGCACAGCAGTATACTTAGTTTTACTTTTAAAACTGGAGGGTAAAGTTTATTCATTGACAGTTAACTTAGGGTGTATAGAGACAAGCCATGTTACTCATGTTTCTTCACTAAGATTAAATTGCACAGTGATTTTCCTCACCGTCCTGTTAAATGTTTTTGGTGACATTGATTCATTTGTCAGGAGCTTTGGAATGTGTCTTTGGTTAACTCATGCAAGGGGTCTCAAACTTGTACCTTCCTTATTTGGTAGTATGGTTCTCTAGTTAGTACCCACATTATTGTTTTTTATAACATTTTCAGTATGCTGCTTTCTCAATACAATACGTTATATACTAAAAACAAAACGTACTTCTTGAAAACCTTCAAATATGTATATACTTAGTATTTGTATTCTACAAATACTTCAATTGACTGTTCAATTCTGTTGGTGATTCACATAAACTGTTGAAATATTAAAAGTGTCATCAAATGTATTATAAGCATACATTGCATATGTATTTTAGTAACTTAAATCTTGAGATATTTCTCAAAATTAATTTTTTGTATTATAGTTGTGAATACTGTGTTTTCATAAAATTTTATTCATTATTTTACAAAATATATGTATTTATTTTCAAAATTGAACATTAACTAGCACATGAAAAAATACGGTGAATCCAAGTTTTAAAAAAAGTGTTAAACATTCTATCGATCTTTTTTTTTTTGAGACCAGTAAAACTGAACCTCATCATGTCAACTTGTGAATAAGTTATATTTTTGTGAGATTGAGTATACAAATTTTTTTTTGTCAAAATAAAGATTTCATTCAAAATTATCATGAATGTAAAGGTTTAAGAAATTGACATGATATATATAACAGTTGGTTTGAAGTTTGAGTGATTTTTAGGTGCAAATACATCAAGATACATAATATATGATTTTATATTAGTTTATGAATTGGGATTGCAGTATTTAATGGTTCTGTTAATTTGTATATGTATATGTTTTCATTACAGGGTGAAAAATCCAGTGATTCTGACAATGTTCATGTTGTGGTCCGCTGTCGGCCCATAAATGAGAAAGAGCAGGCATCTGGATATAAATGTATTGTAGAGGTAACTATTAACTGCCTTTTAATGTACATTTATTGCGTGATAAAGTGTCTAAGATGTCAGGTTTTAAGTCATTTTTGATCTAAAACATAATTTTACCCTTAGTAAGTTTTAGATAAAATGTAATTATACTTTTTTAATATGATTCATTTAATTTTTTTTTCCTTTTTCATGTAGTTTTTAATAAAATAATGTTCAGAGTCAAAAATTTACCATATAGTGCTTGTGTATCACAAGTAAATACAATGTGATGCAAATAAAGTGAGATACCAACTTGCATTATGCACAGGTAAGTCCTACAACCAAATGTTTTCCAAAATCCACAAAAAACAAGTCATATATATATATACACATACATACAGCTGTAAATTTGTGAAGTTGACCACTGCTTGTTTCCTATGAATGATCTGTGAAATGATGGTCACATGAGCAGCAAAAAATACACCAGATTTCACATGACTGGTATTATGTTTGTGCACATAACTTTTTGTGATAATCCATGAAATGTAGGCACTAGCAGATAACATTTTTTAGCATTCAAATGTTTAAAGCAAACTTTCATGCATGAACTTGAGGAAGAACCACAGTTTTAAAAACAAATCTTTTAAAAACAGCACACACAACACACAAATTGCTGGATTCCATAAGACTGTTCAGAATAGAAGTAAGGTAAGTATGACCAAGTAAAACTGGTAAATTAGTATTAAATTTGACATAATAACCTGATAAATATACATGCAATATATATATATATGTGTGTGTGTGTACTATACTGCCAGTAATTTTTTAAGACTGTGTCTAGGCTTCCCAGAAGAGTAGTGAGGAAGACAACTAGGAATTACAGATAATTGATTGAAAAGCATGATATCTTAAGTGTGCATACAATTTTTCTTGTTGACCTGTTGTTGTTATGTGTCTGAATTTCTGACTTCCACAAATACAACAATACTCAGTTGCATAGTAAATGAGTTGAGATGTGCATATCTATAGTAATTTATTGCTCATTGTACCAGCCTTTCTGCAGTCTCATTTTTAAAATTGTGTGGGATTTTGTTTATGAAAATAACCTACCAATGTTTATAATTCTTCTTATGATTTAACCTTTCTCCTTACAAATAAACCATCTTTTACCTAGATTACAGAGCTTGTACCACGTTTTGTTTTGTTCTGTTCCTGATTGTTTCTGATGAGAAAAGTCTGGGTGTTAGCTTAAAGTGTTTACTTAAACATTTTTGTTTCTTGGCACCTATTCCTTTGTGGGTTGACATTTTCAACCAATCAAATATACACCCCAGTAACCTTTCTCACTCCCATTCCCAGGTGCCTAGACATAGCCATTATTTTAAATCTTTAAAGAGAGGAAAGAGGTAGAACAAGTTTGTTTTATTTATGAGTGTAGGTTAAAATAATCTGTTGCAAGGAAAATGCTACTTCTGCTTGTGGCAGGTACAAGTAATATTGTTATTTTCAATAGCAGATGATTTTGTTAAAACATTTTCTATTTTAAATGTTTTATCAGTGCTTTGCAACATGTACCTAAGCACTTTAATATTTAGTTGTAACACTGTGTTTTATCCATACACTTTGGATCATGTTTTTCTGGAGGTTTGTGGCCACTTAGTTATCATTCAGATAACTTCACAGTTGTGTCCTATTTCAATTGCCAGAATGGTTCTTGGTCTTGCTCTCTCTGTTTCCACATCCTCATCTTTCTCTTCTGGGCCTATTCTTTACAAGTATGGTTGGTGGCCTGTCATATTTCAGGTGACCCAAATCTTGTTGCAGATTGTCTGTTAAAGCCCAACAGGATATTGTCTATGGAGTGGTCCCTTAATCCTCAGGTTTTTCATGTGGCTTTGCTGTCATCTGGGCACTCTTCTTATAGATACATTTGCCATTTACCACAACACCAAATTTCTCCCTTTTTGGTCTTCTGTTCTACATCTATCACCTCTAATGATGGATGCATTCAGTCAGGACTGCATTGATCTCTTTTTCTAAGCCTACCCTCATATTCTTCTCCTCCCTTATGTTTTCTTTTTCATTGGGAACACTCCTTGTTGGATTCTTCTGTTAGCTCTGTATTTACCAGCTTAACTATGGTTTTTTCTGTTGAACCTTCTCCAATCCACCATGCCTCTTCCTCTCTCCTGTTATTTTCTTCTTCATCCTCATTCTTCCCTTTTCCATTCAGCTCTCGTTACTCGAACTTTATGCATGGGTTTTGTCTGGTCCCTTGCAAAATGTTTTGGACTCTCTTCACATGCAGTCTTCCTTCTTTATCATTCTGTTTGTCCTTCTTTCATCATTGTCCATCAATGAAAATGATTTATTTTTCAGAGTTGGTCACTGCATCATCCTTTCTCCCCTTCTTGTCTTTGTGTTCCCCATCTTTTGGAATTGTTTACATGGCTCTTCATCCAAGGTTTATTTATATCGACCATCTTTGGATACATGGCAGCTTTCTTTACTATTTTCTGTTTTTTCCATTACCGTCATGCTTTCTTCTCCCCAGTCCTCACTATGCTATTCTATTCTGTTCTTTTCAACACCTTTGTCCTCCCCATCCTTCTACCTTTTCCAGTTGGGACCTGGCTGTTGTCCTCTTTACCCTTACTGTTCCTTCTTTTGAACATTTGGCCTCCTGCTCCTTGTACCATCTCTCAGTTAACTCTCTCAGCATGGGCTCCATCAATTTGAATAGTCCGTGTGCAAAGTAATTTTCATGTTAAAATTAAAAATACTTTT